GAGGAGGCATGTGACTGAGTGGGCATGGCCACCTTGATGTCACTCATGCCCACACCCACTCAGTCACATGCCTCCCCACACAGCCATGTCCACAGAACCATGCACAGATATCATGCTGAAGAACTTTGCAGGAAAAGGAGCGGGGAGGGATTAACAAAAATATGCCACTTCATTAAATTATTCCCAATAAAGAGCATCTCTCAAACATTGGCACACATGAAAGGTCTCGGGAAACATGTTGCATAAATTAAATGCACCAGCTGTCTTGACAGCTATTTTAACACATGGGAAAATTCAGTCTTCAGCCTTGGTCCACTGAGTACAAAGTCAAGGTTAAGAAAAACTAGCGTGATAAACACAAATTTCAAGTGTTCTTCTAGCCTTGTTTTGCTTTCCTACAGCCAAAATCCACTGAAGCAATTATTGAGGGAAAGTAATGTATCATTATGGGATTCCACTGAGGTTCATGGCCCTCACACCACTTTTGTATGTATGTATCACTTACGATGAGCATCTGCTTAGAGCAGAAGTACTACCTGTCTGGAAAAATCTGTCTGAAAATCAGATGGCAGCCTCACTAAAAGATGAAGAATAATCTAAACCTAATGAATACACAGCTACTTCAGAATTAGAACGGAGAGGGATGCATTTGGCAGTTTTTAAAATTATTCTTTGACTCTTGAAATACTGGAATTGATTTTCTGTAATCATTTTCTACTGGTGGAGTTCCCTTGGCCATTTCCAAAAGGGCAATTTCCATAACCTTTGTAGCAAAACATCTTGTGGCACATTAAAGAACAAGTCCTCATTAACCTTTTGGGACAACCTGCTTTATCAGGTGTAGGGTGCAAGAGTCCTTAGAAAGAAAGACACACAGACACAATGATGCTCACACTCAGTAACTGTACCTCTCTCCTTCGCTGTTTCCATTCACTCGTCTTTGTTCCCTGCTTTCTGTACGACACCTTCTTGCACATCAGGGCTCTGATTTAAAGACTTTCAGTCCTTTCAAGGAAAGGTTTGGTTCCATGCTTCTAAGCATGACTAAGTCCCAATTTAAAGCCATTAGGCATGTTCACTTCTAATTCCATGCAACAGTCGGCTCCAATCCATCTGGGTTTATTTACGCTAAATGTGTTTATCTTTCAGCTGCCACAAGGCTAGCTCTTTCCCATTGTTTCATTTACCACAATTTGTGGGGATGGGGGGGAATTGCCATGGCTAAACAAGCCATGCTCTACAAATCCCAAATGCTATGTTTCCTTAACCAATGAAAAACAAGCGTATTTTGTCTTACTGAACAGTCCAAAATTGTAATCCAATGTTTAACGTTGTGCTGAAAAGTGGATAGGGTGCATTGGAAATCAAAATAGGGTAAACATTAACTGGAAAAAAAAAATGATTATCACACTAGTGCAACTAGGCTCTGTTCAGACAATAAGCTAAATGCTAAACCTTGACAGACAAAACACAACGTGTGAGTATGTGTAACTTTTGCATTCAAGTATATAGTATTATGGCTTAACATGACGGTTAGGTTAATGTGTTATATCGTTAGAGAATAGATAGTTGCCCACCAGTGACATGCGGTGTGGTTTATGGCTGGTGAGGCAGCAATTTTTTTAGACTTGTGGACTTCAACTCCCAGAATTCCACAGCCAGGCATGCTCAGTTCCGATTTAATCTAATCTGACTTTATGATCACTCGAGCAGAGTTAAGGAAGGGTTAAAAGCCGAAAAATTCCTGACATAGATGAAGCACGTCATTATCTTGCCTCCTCCTGCAGAGGGTGCTTTTTTAGAGGCTTTTTAAAACAGTTAAGCACTAAGCAGAGTCATCCATGGTGACTCTGGCAGCAACTAGCTCAGCCTGACCTCAGCTCTTGCCTTTTTCCTTTTACATTTTTTTTTCTTTTCATGAGGACAGTGGTGAGGCTCTGCTTCCCCTGCCTGCATGTCCCTGTTGTTCACAATATGTAGCACCATATACTACATATCTTCTGTATGCATGTATTAAGCCATTCCTTTCAGGGCCAACTCATTAAGCAAGAGTAGAAAAGGATAAGAAATAGTAAGCCTAGAAATTAAAGAACTGAGATAGGAATATTTTTTTTAAAAAAGTATGGCTGAAACAAGTTTACCCAAACACCATTCACTCTCCTTGTTTACCACTTTCTCTCCTTACAAACCATTCTTTCTTTTGTCATATCCACACACTGCTTTATACATTCACTTTGGTACTTCAAAATGTCTCATCTCTCTTTTCCAGGATCCCATAATCACAATTTCCTTAACCTTGGTGTCAACTCATTTCTTGTTCTTCCTTCATATATCTGTTTTGTTGTTCACTCCTCATTCTGCCTAGATGGTCAAACCATCTAATTGCATTTCCCTCCAAACCTAAGAATGATCTCTTAAGATCTCACTTGATCCCCAGATTTAAAATACACCAAGGACACAGCTACAATATTAGGACTGCAGAAATATTACCAACCAATAGATGGCAGCAAAGATTTAATGTTTCCTCTCTGCCTTTCTGGTCCTCTCCTGGTGTATCCAGAGTTTGCACCTCGATATGGTTGTCCTAAATAAAAATGGTAAGCAAAACGAAGCCAAATGAAAATAAAAAATATTCTTTCATACACAGACAAAAATTAATTTATGAATAGGCTGCAGTTCGCATGGCCATAACTAATGAGTTATATGAAGCAGGTCTCTGTTATTTTTGTTGCAACAAGTTAACACAATTCTGCTGGAAATAAGTTAAAACAAGAGTAGCCACCAGAGGGTAGTAGCAAGCTGAAAGCTATCCTAGAACTTCAGCTACTAAGCTGAAATGTACATAGTTGGAAAATAGTATCTCAGGATGCAACGTGCACGTTCTCTCTCTCTTCCTGATATGCACACCTTCTGTTACTCCGATCCTTTGCTCGTGGCATCCTCACTTTGCTTCCCATCCTGAATTATTATACAGGTCAGTGAACATCTCGTTGATTTATATGTCGATCAGCTTGTTAGCCAAGTACTAAGGAAAAGGCAATCTATTTCAAAGTGTGGTGAAGATTTTGAGTCAGCTTTTGCAGGAGAATATTTCTTCTTTTGGCATTTTGTTCTCAAAAGAATAAATTTCTGAAACATGATCCAGAAACAGCATTATTTAAAAAAAAACAGAGAAGGAAAGAGGGAGAAGGACCATAAGCTAAAAGCAAGATTTTTGCTAGCACTCTGCTTTTTAAGCTATTGGAGCATTTTTATTAGGAGTTTTGCCTGAGCAGAAAGGGAATCTCAATTAAAACAGTAGGGCTTACCTTTGAGTAAAAGAACTTCAGCCTTTAATGCAAGTATATTTACTTAGAATTTAATTTATTGAGCTGAGGGAGTGTATCAACTATGCATTCTTGGTAAGGGTTAAGCTTCAAAAATGCTAATTCTTAATAGACACACCATTCCAGTCACTCTTTTATATTTTATAGGACTTATATTCAGGAAAGAAATCCATGTCATTTATCAAGGGGAAAAACATATTACCTTTCAGTGATAGCTCACATGTGTAATTAACATTTTTGTAGGTTCTTTCAATCACCTTCTTCCTGGAATTCTCCGCTAAGGTTGAAATCCTATTTTATAAAATAAGCCAAAAGTTACATACATTTCATACATTCATATGACCCCAATGTTTTGAACATTGCATGATTATCTGATATCAGTTCCCCTTGCCTAGGTAAACAAAAGATGTCTAAACAAACCTAGAAAAGAGATGCTTACATCTACAGTGTATTGTTAGAGAATTTTAGATGGTCAACTTCAGTGGACTTAAAAAGGACAGTAAGATGACAATGTGTTATATTTCATTAACGACTGACAAAGGGGACCATTCAATTCAGCAGCCTTCCCATTCTGTGGTGTAGATGTTTGGCTGCAGATCCTATGGTGACTAACCCACAAATTATTCTGAATCTTAACTTCCAGAATTCCCCAGCTACCATACTTGGAATTCTGGGAGTTGAAGTCCACACAGCTTAAAGTTGCCAAGATTGAAAAATACTACTTTTTTTTTAAATTGGAAAGTCATAAGAACATTTCTGAATGCAGAAGTAATAATAAAACTGTAGTATATTGATCTATTTTAGATATAATGTTTAATTTAAATATCCTAAATCCTACATTTTGGAAAGAAAACTCCAGCAAATCATTCAAAGAAAAAAAATTACAATCTTCAATCTGAAATACTTGGCCAGCCTTAAGCAGCTGCTGTCAAGCAAAATGAGATGTCCATAGGTTTGTCACCATTATCTCTATATTTCCTAGAGTCTGAGCAGATGGAGGAAACACATGAATTTCATAAAGAAAGAAATGCAGTATAATTTTACCTTATTGTTCCGTACCCAGCTCCTATGTCTAATTGCATTCCTTTATGTGGATTTCCTATCACTGAAACAAACAGACTTGAACAGGAACAAAAAACTGATTTTAGAAAAAAAGAACTTGATGGCTCTGGCAAAGTTCTTCAAACATTTGTGCTTGGATGTAACAAAATTAACAAAAATCAAAAGCAGAGCTGAGAACCAACCATTATAGAGCACTTAGCATCCCCTTTCAACACTTTAATTGGATGTTCATGTGAATAGAAGCTGTGTTTATTTATCTCCTTTTCTTTCTTGACCTCCTTAGCTGGTGTCTGTCATATATGAAAGAGCACAATTTAACTCATAGGGATTTTGCAAACAAATTGATCTAGTTTGCCCAAAATGCTAAATGAGGTTGACTTGATTGATTTTGATCTAGCTTCCATGTAAAGTCAGCAATTGATTCCACTAGCCAAGATTAAACAAACAACAGCCTGGGGTTTGGTCACTGTTTGGATTTCTAATGCTCTGAAATGCTCATGAAACTCTAAAGTAGGTGTGTCAAACTGGCGGCCCATGGACCAGATGAGTCACGCACAGGCCACGCCCACCACAACTCCATGAATGGGGAAAACGTTATGAAACATCACATGATGCCATGAGTTTGACACCCGTCCTCTAAGGAGATCCTGGATCAGTAGCTCAGTGAGCCGCAGAATCTCTCTGAATCGGCGCCATCTGCTACAGAATTTCAGATGGATTTGTGACTAGGGTTAGTAAAAGCTCAAGGTGGAGTATTTGTTTTGTACTTCATAACTAAAAATTGGCAATATTCTCGCTTTCCATATGTGCCAGATATTACACAGGCAAAAAAAAATAAAGCTCTTAGTTTTATGGTTCATTTGTTAACAACAAATATTGGGAAAGTTGGAGATAGTATCTTAAATAAAAAAATTTTGTATGTATGTGTGTGTGCATGGAGAGAGAGAGAGTCAGAGAGAGAGACAGACATACAGACATACATACATACAGACAGACAGACAGACAGACAGAAGTGGGGGGGAGAGAATCCCTGCAAATTTTACTCCACTAGTCTTTTCCGACTATAGGAGACAGTGCTCATCTCTGTTTCAAGGCCATTGAGCCTGTTCTGTTTGAGACATTTTCATGGTCATGTGGCCAGCACTCTTACCTTCCCACCAAACTGGTGCCTATTTATCTACTTGCATTTGCATGCTTTGAAACTGCTAGGTTGGCAGGAGTGTGGCAAGGACTGGAGCTCACCCCATTGTGTGGCACTTGGGTCTTGAACCTGGACTGCTGGCTTTCCAGCCAACAAACTCAGCATCATAACAAATGAGCCACCATGTCACCTGTATTTATTTGTATCCTGCCTTCATTATTTTTTGCAAATGACTCAAGGCTGTCAACATATCCAACACACCTTCCTAACCTATTTTCCTTTCTCCTATTTTTAGAAAAGCATGTTATTTATTTATTTATTGCTGAATATTTCATGCCACCAACATTTTGCCACACAGTTATGTAAGCTCTGATTAGTGCAGTTTGGGGCTCATCGTGTTGCTAACGTATTTTTCAGTTTGTCAGTCTTTAGGAAAAGCTGTTTACCGACTCCCTGTCATTCTATGCCTCTCTCTCCCTTTTCTTCTTTTTAAATTGCTGTTTTCAGGCACCCCTGCAGCCAAATCCTTCCCTTGAAAAAGTAAACAAGGAGGTTGTGATCTTGAGATGAAAGAGTAAAGTTACGGAGGAGCTACAGAAGCAACTCAGAGGAAAATGGGGAAGGCATCAAAAGGCAGAGAAGCCTAATAAGCTGGAAAGGACTCAAACTCATGGCCTTTGAAAGCAATTCCTCTCAATCCTACGGTGCCGGCTTCAAACACAAGTCCTTCAAAAGATGGCCCGTGAATATGGAAGTGCATCAGGACAGAAGGAACTTTCTGAAATATAGATAACTGAACCAAGCTAAACCCAGTATTTAATATATATCTTGTTTATCCTATCTGACTGGTGTAAAACAGTGCTAAAGCTACTCCACTACCCAAGTTGAGCATGACTTTGGGTGGCTTTTAAGACACATCTATATAATATTCTGGGCAACAGTAGAAAAGTGGACTGCTGTTACCTTCTCGTGAAATATTTTTCTTTCAACGTGTCAGTGTGGTCTACAGCCCATTCATATCTGAAGCAGAACCAATCCTGCTTAGCTTTTGATCCCCAAGAAGGTCAACTACTTGCTGAGACAATGTGAGGCGGAGTTCAAAGTAAAAAAAAAAATTGTCTATTCTACTTATGGTTAAATCCTTCTGTTGTGGTTGACTCATGGAAGCCAGCAGCCATTGGAATACTGGCTTCTTTAATGGCAGCAGCTCTGGGGTAGCATTAAGGAACAGCTCCAATTTCAGCTCCCAGTTTACTGGTGTGCAGCTGATCCAGTCTTTCAAACCTCTGATCATCCCCTGCTACACCTTGGTGGTGCTTGTTGGCATCTTTGGCAACTATCTTCTTCTTTATGTCATCTGCAAGACCAAGAAAATGCACAACGTCACCAACTTCTTCATTGGGAACCTGGCCTTCTCAGATATGTTGATGTGTGCAACCTGCATCCCCTTTACCCTTGCATATGCTTTCAACCCCAAGGGGTGGATCTTTGGGAAGTTCCTGTGTTACTTTGTGTTCCTGATGCAACCCATGACCGTCTATGTCTCTGTTTTCACACTTACTGCCATTGCTGTGGACAGGTAAACAAATATTTCCTATTAACTAAGAGTCTAATGCAGGGTTTCTCAACCTTGGCAAGCTGGAAGATGTGTGGATGTCAACTCCTAAAATTTAAGAAGTTGAAGTTCACAGCTCTTCAAATTGCCAAGGTAGAGAAATACGGGTCTAAAGAGAGATTCGGTTCACACCCCTAACCCTAACCCGTCATATTTGGCATGTTAATTATAGAATTAGATTCATTTGACCTGCTGTGCATTTCCCATATTTGGTTTGGCCAAGTGCGGAAACCATGTTTAGATAAGTTGTGCCTTAACACAATGTGCAAATTTAGATTTTGTGTTAAGAGGAAGCTCTGCAGCTCAATGGTGAAACACACGATTGACAGAACAGAAGACTTCTTATTCCATCATTGACCTTCCCTAGTTAAGTTGAAATGCAACTCATCTTGAGGGCATGTAGCTGGGATGTTTCCATTACCCTTAAGGATTGAAGCTCTCCAGGAAGTTGATCAAGAGTTCCTCACTCTTCCCAAATCTACTCTGCCTGCCAAGCATGTACTTTCCATTAGGTTTTGGTTCTTTCCTTAGGACGATATGATAGGTCAATGTTCTTTGTTATGTTCTATAAATGTCCTACTGTTTTCATTTTATTCCTGCTGGGAAGGAACTTGTTATAGTTGGAGATTAAACTTGTTCTTCCTTCTTCTATTTCCACCAGAGATTTAAAAGGAGAGCATTTACTGGTTGATCATCATTATCCCACTGTTTGCTCTTTTCTAACTTGTGGCCAACTGCTTTGGTAAATAAGTTAATTTTTACACCTTTTCTCCTCCATGGGTGGGCTGAGAGAGTGAGATAGCTGTCTTCTCACTGCACCCTGTCCTTCAATTAATAATGTGGTATCTTATTATTTGCCACCCAAAAAAATTGGTGCCATGGTCACCAAATGCAGCTGTTGCCTTTGGAAAGCCAGACAAATGTAGAAACTGTTTGGAACTGGGAGTTTGTGATAGAACATTTCCATAGCAACATAGTCCTAGCAAAGGTTGGGGATGCAACTTGTACTCTGTACTTTCTGCCAATATATTGAACAGTATATCCAAGAGGAGATGGACACATTCCAAAAAGTAGATAAAACCAAGACAAAAAATGGATGTTGATGGGACTAAATAAAAAATTAAAATATAACAATAATTGCATATCTGGACATTGAGTTGGCCACACCCACCCAGTCACAAGACCACCAAGCCACGCCCAACTAGCTGGTCATTAGGGCAGAGGACCGGTTGTTAAATTATTTGAATCCCACCACTGACTGAGAACCTTCCTAGACAGATTCCCTTAAAAACTGTGTTACTAATTTAACAACTGCAGTGATTCACTTAACAAGTGTGGCAAAAAAAAGTCTTTGGCAGTTTCCTCCATAATCAAAGGTGGTGGTACAATCTGGAAGGCTTCAAAACTTCAGAGAAGAAGCTACCTTTTGTTATCTTAAGGTGCTTATACTATTTTTATTAGCTTTTTAATCTCTTCCTTCAGAGAGCTCAAGGCTCTAGAAGAACTGCCCACATACTCCACTCCATGTTCATCAAAAGAATAAATTCTGTGGTTTGACAGCTCTTCATATGGAGAAGCTTCTTCAGTGGAGGCCCTACAGGGAATAAAGGAGAAATTGTTGCTATATTGTTCACTGCCCTTGAAGAAATTTCTCCATAACCAAATGAATGTTCTCCCAGTAGTTACAGAGGATTATCTTTTCCAGTGTCCCCTCCAATTTCAAGGAGAGTTTTTCCGTGGAGAACAGGATCATAATTCAATATCAGAATGCAGACAGTGATCATCCCTGGTTGATGGTTCCCATTCTCAAATTAGCTGTGAGTGCAGCACAGCTTTGCAGGGAAGAGAGGAACCGAACACAATTTATGAAAGTAATTCTTTGTTGCTTTTGAAATGGTAGGGTACTTCAGTGAATTGATCATTTTTCAAAGTGGCAACTGATGACGTTGGTTAGTAGGATATACATAAATTTGGGCAAACCTGGATTTTTGGGGATGTGTTTCCTCTGATCAGTGATTACTTTGTAGAGAAGGAAGCAAATCTTCATTTAGCAAAGTCTCCTATGACGGAAACAGGCTTACATTACTCTGGCCTGTACAGATTTGAATCTTTTCCCCTTTATTTGGTATTGTCCAAAGACAACCTCAAAGTATACAATATCTGTTAAACTTTGCAGAGGCCATTAAGCAGGTTAAAGGTTCCCCTTGCACATATGTGCTAGTCATTCCCAACTCTAGGGGCTGATGCTCATCTCTGTTTCAAAGCCAAAGAGCCAGTACTGTCCGAAGACATCTCCATGGTCATGTGGCCAGCATGACTAAATGCCAAAGGTGCACGGAACGGTGTTACCTTCCCACCAAAGGTGGTTCCTATTTTTCTACTTGCATTTTTACATGCTTTCGAACTGCTGGGTTAGCAATAGCAATAGCAATAGCAGTTAGACTTATATACCGCTTCATAGGGCTTTCAGCCCTCTCTAAGCGGTTTACAGAGTCAGCATATCGTCCTCACAATCTGGGTCCTCATTTCACCCACCTCGGAAGGATGGAAGGCTGAGTCAACCTTGAGCCGGTGAGATTAGAACCGCTGAACTGCAGATAACAGTCAGCTGAAGTGGCCTGCAGTACTGCACCCTAACCATTGCGCCACCTCGGCTCTCAGTTGGCAGAAGCTGGGACAAGTAATGGGAGCTCACTCTGTTATGCAGCACTAGGGATTCGAACCGCTGAACTGCTGACCTTTCTGATCAACAAGCTCAGCGTCTTAGCCACTGAGCCCCTATTAAGCAGGTTAGAAACTGGCAATTGGCAGCAACTCTCATGCGAATATCAGCTTCTACTAACAGCTCAGCAGTGGGAAGTAGCCTTTGTCACAGAAAAATCAACCTTTAGAAAGATTTGGCATATATATTTTAAAGTCAGAGTGAGAGAAGAGCTTTGGTTTATTGGCAGGCTTTGAGAGAGGCCAGGAAGAACCTGCTGTGCGTGATATTAATTGACCACCTGAAAAGAAAGAAAAAAGCCTCTCTGATTCATTCTTCCCCAATATAAATTGTCCCCATTATTTTATTCTGTGATGAGGTTGCTGATGGGATAATTGCAATGGCCAAGGATCATTCAGGGATGTGTTTTACCTTAGGTCATTCTTCTCTTATTTAATCAAACCCAACAGCAATAAAACGTAAATTAAATCAAAGCAGGGAATGGGGGAAGAAAAGAATGCTGGACTAAATCCACATCAGCACCCTGAAGGTTTTGCCGGATTCTGTGCTCCAGTCTGAAATTTCAATCTATTCAGAATAGAACTGGAAGGGGCCTTTGAAGTCTTCTAGACCAACCCCCTGCCCAAGAAGGAGAACATTCCAGACAAGTGAATGTCCAGTCTCTTCTTAAAAACCTCCAGTGATGAAGCACCCACAACTTCTGATGGCAAGTGATTCCCCTGATTAATTATTCTCACTGTCAAGAAATTCGTCCTTAGTTCTAGGTTGGATCTCTCCTTGATTAGTTTCCACCCTTTGCTTCTTGTTCTGCCTTCAAGTTGCTTTGGAGAATAGTTTGACTCCCTCTTCTTTGTGGCAGCCCCTCAAATATTGAGCCAAGGTGGCACAGTGGTTAAATGCAGCACTGCAGGCTACTGCTAGATCAGCAGTTCAGCGGTTCAAATCTCACCGGCTCAGGGTTGACTCAGATCCTTCCGAGGTGGGTAAAATGAGGACCCAGATTGTTGGGGGCAATATGCTGACTCTGTAAACCGCTTAGAGAGGGCTGAAAGCCCTATGAAGCGGTATATAAGTCTAACTGCTATTGCTATTGGAAGAGTGCTATCATGTCATCCCTAGTCCTTCTTTTCTCTAGATTAGCCAAACCCAAACCCGTTTTTCATATGTTTTAGTCTCCAGGCCTTTAATAATCTTAATTGCTCTTTACACTTTTTCCAAAATCTCAACATCTTTTTTGTAATGAGGTGACCAAAACTGGATGCAATATTCCAGGTTTGTCCTTACTTAAAACTTTATAAAGCGGTACTTTCTGCAACTGATCATTATAGGTAGTCCTCGATTTACAGCCATTCATTTAGCAACCATTTGAAGTTACAACAGCACTGAAAAAAAATAACATAAGGCCTGTCCTCGCACTTATGACTATTGCAACATCGCCACAGTTATGTGAACAAAATTTGGTCACTTAGCAACTGTCATGTATTTAGGATGGTGGCCACGTCCTGTGGGCACATGATTGCTACTTATGATCTTCCCAGCTTCTGAAATCAGTCAGGAAAGCTGGATTTGTTTAATGACCATATGAGTCACTTAACAACCATGGCAAAAAAAAATCATAAAATGGAGCATGACAACCTTGCTTAGCAATGAAAATTCTTGCCCCAATATTTGTGTCTGGCTCCTTATTGTTTCATGCAGATCTTTATTAACTGACAGCACTACCAAAGCTAAGCCAGAAAATATCTTTGGTCTGGGCCAAGCAGTGAAGCAAATATCAGAAGAAGAATTCAACTCCCCAAGAGAAAATGGTGCAGGTGACACTCTGGGTCAGCTAAACGTTACAATTTTATGCACACTTACACAGGAGTAAAAGCCCAGGATACTTTTTATGTAGTGTGCAATCTTACTCTTCCTTTGAAGAGCACACCTTAAATCAATAAATCATAACAACGGAAGGGAGTTGGAAATTATGTAGTCCACTTCTTCACAATGGAGATGATGCAAGGCCAGACATAGCTAGTTACCAGGAAGTTTGCGCCTCTGAATAACATCAATGATACTTGAATCACCATAGCTAAAATCCTGGACTTTGGTGACTTTCCCAGATAAAGTTGTAGGTCTGAGAGGCATTATCAAGATGAGCATCTATTAGTCCCATATTATAACCAAGGATTTGCCAATGGAAGCTATTTCGGTATATTCCTGATCCTGGTGGTATTATTGAGATGGGTAAATATCATTCCCAAGCAGCAAATGCTACTCTAGAAATTAAGCCCACATACAGAACTGCCAGAGTACCAGCAGTAAAGCTTTGAATAATAACAAAGGTTTGCATTATGCTGAGCATAGAAACAGGAAACGCTAGCAATTTATTTTTGTGACGTGAGAAGACATTTGTGTTTAGACATGAACCTGAGATGGGGGTGAGCATGCAGTGGTTAGCCACCAATCAATATTTGTATTCACCAAAGCTCTTAAGTGTTAAGCTAGGAGTAACAATGCATGCTGATTGGAAAGACAACCATTTATTATAGGGATAGTACAGTGGTTGAGTTGTTGCCGGTTTTGCTAGCCCTTCACTTCGCACATACACAGAACAATTTCCACTGAACTATCCATGTTGTGCCTTCTAAACAACATCCTGGGAACGGCAGCGGCGACCGGAGAACCGGTTTGGGGGTGTGGCCAGCCTGGGTCGTTGCCAGTTCTGTGACCCAGGCCAAAATACCACTGCCTGTTTGGCCAAACCAGGAGCAACTCACCTCTGGTAGTACATCTAGGTTCACACCAGTGGTGGGTTTCAAAAATTGTTCGAACCTACTCTGTGGGTGTGGCCTCCTTTGTGGGAGTGGCTTGCCACCCATGTGACCGGATGGGAAATTATGAATTAGTACTTAGGTCGGTCGAAGGACCTATTCAGAAACTCTGCCACTGAAGCA